AGCAAATTCCAGATCGCCACCTGGGGCTCGCTCATCGTCCATGAACTCATCTATTTCCTGTTCTGTCTGCCTGGATTTATCTTTCAGTTCCTCCCTTTCATGCAGAAGTATAAAATCCAACAGGTACGTGCTATCAAATTTTAAATGTAACATTTATATATTTTTTTCTTGTTAAAAATATTGTTTTTTATTAACTTTTCACATATGTTTTTGTTGTTGTGCTTGCAGGATAAACCAGAGACATGGGAGAAACAGTGGAAGTGCTTTAAAATGCTGCTGTTTAATCACTTCTGTATCCAGCTACCGCTCATCTGTGGAACATTTTACTTTACTGAGTTCTTCAGCATCCCTTATGACTGGGACTCCATGCCTCGCTGGTGAGAACAGCTCTCTCACTTTATAAAGTGATTCAAATATGAAGAATTTGGTTATAATAGGTCTGAGGTTGTTCTGCAGCTTTACTGCAAGTAGGCCTTGTTTTCATTTTTATAATCTCTCTCACCATCTCAGGCCTTCTATATTGGCCCAGTGTTTTGGTTGTGCAGTAATTGAGGACACGTGGCATTACTTCCTCCACCGAGCCCTACATCATCGCAGAATCTACAAGTACATTCATAAAGTCCATCATGACTTCACTGTAAGTTACTCGCATTCTCACAAATACACACACAATGTGCAGATGAAGGGAAACTATAACACAGCCACGACAGGCATGTAGAAGTAGTTCAGTTTAAACTTTTTGGTGAATTCATACACTTAAAGGTTCTTTTCTTTTAGTTTTACATTGTATTATAATTAATATTTTCAATATATATACTGTATATATATATATATATATATATATATATATATGTACATGCTAAAGGCCCGTTTACATGATAACTATACCAATAATGATAATAGTATAGTTCTAGAAATCGTTCTAAATGTAAGAGTCCACACCACAAATATAATAATAATGGCACCAAGCAACAATATTGTTAGAATAACTTTCACAAGGATTTAGGTAACACTTTCAACATTCTGTTGACTATAAGTAACTTTGCAACTACATGTCAACTAACTCGCATTAGAGTATTAGTCTGTCTACTTAATATTTGCTAACTCTTTATTGTGATTCTCCCCAAAATACATTCTTATGACTATAAGCAACTTCGCAAGTACATGTCAACTTCTTCTAACCCTACCAGTCGACTAATACTCTACTGACAAAGTTAGTAGACATGTAGGTGTAGCGACCATCAAAATAAAGTGAAACCAGGATTTTTTCCCAGATGATTTACCATAGAAAGAGCTCGAGCATGCATCACATGCCAATTTTTATTATCAATTTTTATCTATATTAGCGTGGATGCTAATATCGTTAGCATTATTTTTATAGCTATAGTTCTTGTTGTGAACGTGCCTTAACTCTTAAGTAATGATAGTTGATCTACCATCTTTTTCATTTGTGTGTGTTAGGCTCCATTTGGCATGCAGGCAGAATATGCCCACCCTGCTGAGACTTTGATTCTGGGTGCTGGGTTCTTCATTGGCATCATGGTCTTCTGCAATCACATGATTTTGCTCTGGGCCTGGGTGACTTTCCGGCTGCTTGAAACCATTGATGTTCACAGGTGAGCTCAGGACACACAATACAATTGAATGTGGACGTGCCATGATCTGGATCAGTACATTTGGGAATGTCAACACTGTGAGGCTGATAATAACTTATAGCAACGCTGTATTACAAATGTATTCATTTGATACAATACTACTATGACTAGAAGTATGTGGACACCGCTTTCTAATTTACAAGTTTGGCTATAACAGCAATTCTAGGATTTTTTAAACAATATTTTCAGTGGAAATATGTCCTGGTAAAAATATTTTATGATACTTTTTTGATCATGTCATTTATCTTTTGAGTGTGTATGTGTTTTGTTCTTTGACGTTCCTTCTTTTGCCCTCTCTTCAGTGGTTATGACATTCCTCTGAACCCCCTGCATTTGATTCCATTCTATGCTGGTGCTCGTTTCCATGACTTCCACCACATGAATTTTGTTGGCAACTATGGATCTACATTCACCTGGTGGGACAGACTTTTTAACACCGATTCCCAGTTTAACAAACATTACTCAAATCATAAAGCTGTGAAGAGCGACTGATTGACAGAGATTTCACTCACACACTGATGCTTCATCACCATCTATATTCTATCTCTCATGGACTCTTGTGTGGGATTTGGTTGGTCTGATGTTTTTGCATTGCCTCCCCCTGCACACACTCACTGTAAACTATTTAAAATTGGACTGAATGGATTCAAATCAATGTCAGCTTCTTACAGCAATGTGCCTTTGAAAAGGGAAAACACCCCTTCACAAACATCATTAAACCAACCAACATCACAATACTCCAACAGACTGGTTGTTAGGAATGAAAGGATGTCAGCCTGTGTTCTGTGCTCTCAATTATTATAAACATTCATCTATCTTAAGTAATGAAAACATCCTTCATCAAAAGCACTTTACTTTCACCTTAACAATGACACAATATTTTGAAATCTTATTTTTGTAATTGTTTTTTTTTTTTGCTTGGTTGCCTTTCCTGAAAATCTTGTAAAGATTTTATAACTTTCAGCAGTGACCAGCAAATAAATATGGCTTGGAATGGATTTGGGGGGGAAAGGAGATCATTCAGGTGTTTGCTTGTTAATTTGAAGGCAACTTAATAAAACAACGTAACAGAAACGCTGAAATTCCTAAATGTGCTTTCATCACAATTTTACAATCCACATCACTGATCATCGTATAAGTCAAATGTCAAATTACAGTATGAAAAGTGACATATGGGGTCAGTACAGTCCCACAACAAAATATGCAAAGCTAGACTGTCCGGGATATACATACTGCTGCCTAATGTGTAGTGCCATGTGGTGGGTAGACAGTTTCAAAACAGAATATACTATATATATGTAAAGTATAAGGTAGACAGACAGTCGCAGATATTACAGTTACACTAAGGTCGGTGTCAAATATAGTTGATAGATGATCTCTTTATCCTTAATGTCCACAGGTAATACCTCATAACTGTAATTGAGTAAAATTTCTGCTTTACTTGTATATTATTTTTATTGAAAAATGTATAGTTTTACTTTTAAAACTTTCTCCACATTTTAATGACATTTGCCACAGCACAGCACTAAAAGCTGTTCTAGAAAAGATTTTCGATAGAATCTTTCGATCAATTCGGTTCCTTTGAATCTCTCCTTTTTGTGAAGGGGTTTGGAACAAAATCTGTTTCATTATGTTGTTGCAGTTTGTATTTATGTTAGTTAATATTTCTTTGTTGTACGTTTGTGTGATGCCAAACCCGGGTGGAGTTCTGAATGATTTTCGTAAATCACGTCATCTGAATCTCAAGACCAAAAATTGACCAAAATAGTAAATGGGTCGTTCACAAAGAATATAATATTGTTTTTAAAAACATGAGAGGCAGGTAAGTAAAAATTTAAGTAAAATGTCATTTAAAGTCGCCATGTCGTGCTCGAGACTGCCAATGGACCTCGTGAACCTGAAGTAGTGGGGCACCGCTTGAAAGGTTGTTATGTGGGGCGGGCAGCAGGGGGCGCGCTATTGTAACCAAAGTTTTCATTACTGTTTCCAAAAAAATTAAAAAAAAAATCCACTCCGACATTCTTCACACTTTACATTACACATACAACAAAGTAACAAAAAGTACCACGGACTTACCACGAGTATCATGTAAATATCCATTAGTTTATCATGTTATGATGTTGGCTACATGCATGGTAGGTAAGTTACATGCGCTATGGGTCTACTACGACAGTATCCTACCTTTTTTAGGATAGGCTATTTGTGGATTGTATCTCAGTCCCTTCATTGTATAATTGCAGCTTATGTTTTTATTAGTATATATTTCTTTGTTTAGCTATGTGTTTATGTTATGTCAGAAGATATACTGATGCCTCTAGTCGAGACATTATCATAAAGAAAATGATTATGAATATGGCCATGAGGTGATTTATGTAATCTCTGAGTCTATGACCCTAGTAGTAGCTGCATATTTGACCAGTTTCTGCAATTATATATATATATATATATATATATATATATATATATATATATATATTAGAAACTTAGTTTTTATTCATAAAACTAGTATACCAAGATTTTAGCCAGAACTCATTTATGTTAAAAAAAATAAATAATATATATTAATATATATTCAACAACATGAGAATGAGTAGGCTAAAATGGTGACGGTTTTTCATATATATATATATATATATATTAGGGCTGTGCAAAAATTAATTGCGATTAATCGCATCCAAAATAAAAGTCTGTGTTTCCATAATATATTTGTGTGTGCTGTATATAATTATGTTGTATATATAAATACACACACATGCATGTATATATTTAAGAAAATGTGTTATTCATATATAAAATATTTATATTTATATAATATAGATTATGTATTTATAAATATATACAGAATTTAAGAGCATATAATTCTTAAATATATACATGCATGCATAGGTATTTATATATACAAAATAATTATATACAGCACACACAAATATATTATGTAAACACAGACTTTTATTTGGATGCGATTAATCGCAATTAACTTTTGCACAGCCCTAATATATATATATATATATATATATATATATACAGTAATCCATTTAATGTTTTTTAAATGTTAATATTTAAAATGTATGATGTAAAATGTAAAATGTAAAAAAAAAATTAAAATGTAAAATGTTAACACAGACTCCAGCAACCACTCAGCTACAATCAGCTGTGCCCTTTTTATAGAATTTACCATCATGTTTGATATATGTTACTTTAATACTTATATCTGATATAGGCCTACTATTGTCAATATCCACAAAGGTATACTTTTTAATTAAAAATTACGTTTGGAAAAACCGTAAGACCATTCGTCATTACATAAGCCACGCCCCTGCAGGGGTAGCACCGTGCGCGTTCACCCATTTCGCGTGTGTAATCTTGAGCTGTCAGCAGCAGAGAGCTGCACGTCCCTTCTCTCACGCGCGTCCCCGCGGCTAAACAGGTAGTCAGGACTCGAGCGTCGCGCCCACGCATCAGTTTTGCGGTTCCATTCGGGGCACGACACAGCAAACGGTAGGCTACAGACAGAATAGAAAAAGAAAGACAGACAACAGTGCTAAGAGAAACCGAATAGAAATACGTGAAGAGAGAGAAGTGTCGAGTGTTTCGGGAGTGATGACGGCGGCGGTGTTTTGCGGGGCTCTGCTGATGCTGGCCCTGGCCTCGGGCGGGGATGCTGCGGGGGAAGGAGGTATCTCGTTTGAGTACCACCGATATGAGGAGATGCGGAAAGCCCTGGTGTCCGTGTGGCTGCAGTGCCCCTCCATCACCCGCATCTACACTGTCGGGGAGAGTTCCGAGGGCCGAGAGCTGCTCGTCCTGGAGATGAGCGACAACCCTGGCATCCATGAGCCTGGTGAGAGAAGATCATTTATTATACCAGATTATAATAAGACTGTCATAGCATAACCAATGAAGCTCTTTGGAGAAGCATAAGCAATCATTTTCCTTTGTGTGCCATGTTTATCCATTCTGCATGAAATTAGATTAGGCTATGAATCAATAACAAATCAATAAATGGGGTTCTCAGATGACATTCACCCCTTCTTATTAAATCCCCTTTAAAATGTATTTCACGTTTTAACCTCTTGCAGACGACAAATTAGGTTCTTAAAATGAGAGGTTCAAAAATGAGGTGGAAACAATCTCTGTTCCAGTGAAGCATCCTGAATGGCCAATTCTGGCCATTGAAATGTATGATTTTTAAAATGTAAATGCTCAAATATATTTAAGGTTGAAATTTAACAGTGACTGCATTAGAAACTATTTTGCATTTTCCCAATAGTGTGCGCTGTCACATTTAATCATTTTGCAAGTTTTCATAAATCATCGCATTGATGTATCTCTGCTCGCAGGAGCGCTTTGGCGTGTGCCTGTGCGCGCGCTCTCAGAGATGTGATGACAGGGTGAGCAGCTCACTGTGCGCGTGGACGCCATTTTGCAAATGTTGCTGGATCTGTAATTGCAGATAAATTACAGACTCATTTAAACACGGCTTATTGCAGGGCTTCTTACCAAATGAATATATACACATATTGATTATGCTATATAACGTTTATATTAGTTTATTAGCCTCTTGATTAGAGACTGACAACAATGAAGGAGGTTGGCTAAATGAGGGGCAGTAATATAAAGGCTATAGTGTTTTCTTGGACAACGGAAATATTCAGAAATGTCTGATTTCTGATTGTAGTTATCGACCAGTCAGATTCTAGAGGATCTTGGAATAAAGTCAGTATTTTTGCTGTGAACATTCAGAGCTTATAGTATAGGCCTACTCTGCCGCACACAGGTAATTAAGGTTAGAGCAATAGCCTACAGGCTTAAACATAAAAATAATATTAACACTAACATTTGTGTTTTGTAGGAATGTGTTGGCTATGGTTTTAAATCCTTTATCCGAAGCTGTGCGCTAATTAGTTCGTTTAGTGTGCTCTATTTGGATTTTGGATCTTAGTCAGGTAATTAGGTTGGTGGATTAAGGTAATTACTGAACACCTCACTGAAACCAAACCATAGAGATGCATTCATTATTTAAGAGTGTTGATTTTATGATAATGTAGGTTCTGGTTCCACTTGATTACTGAGACTCAGTAAAGTTATTACATGTAGCCGTATCTCTGTCCATGAAACACATTTGTTTATGTTTATACAGACCTATTAGAGTTTATAGTAAAATTTATGTGATGTTGACATGTGTTTTGGCAATTTTTTTACCCTATAATTTACTGTATTCTGATTAGATTAAAGTTGTTTATTAACATTAGTTAATGTATTGGATAGAACACGAACGATGAACAATGGACGATACTGTTAAAGCATTTATTAATCTAGGTTAATGTTAATTTCTACATATACTAATGTATTATTAACTTTTAAAGTTAGATAAATAAATTAAAAAATATAATCAAGGAAAATAAAAAAATATCTTGAATAAATTAAAAGATTATAAAATAAAAAAACTCATCTTTAACAAATAATAAAATATTATTAATAGCAATAAATAATCTATTCTAATCTAATAACTAATTGTCAATTAATAATAATAACAGATTAATAAATGCTGGAAAATTGGGTAACACTTTACAATAAGGTTCATTCGTTAACATTAGTAAATGCATTAACTAACATGAACTAACGATGAGCAATGCATTAGTTACAGTCTTTATTAATCTTTGTTAATGTTAGTTAATACAAATACAGCTGTTCATTGTGCATTCATGTTAGTTCACAGTCCATTATAATGTTAACTAATACAACCTTTGATTTTAATAACGTATTAGTAAATGTTGGAATTAATATTAACTGAGATTAATAAATGCTGAAGAAGTATTGTTCACATATTGTACATGTTAACTAATGTAGTTAACTAATGTTAACTAATGAACCTTATTGTAAAGTGTTACCGAAAATTGTTCATTGTCATCATTAAATCTAAAGGATTCACTAATAGAACTTTATTGTAAATTGACCACCAACATTTCTGTGTATGCCAGTTTAGCTAAGAGCTCATTTTTAACTATAGTCCCTGGACATGTATTAAAAAAAGACACAGGATATTTCATTTCATTTTAAAATGCTGAAGTCATTGGATTTCTATTATTGACTCAAAAAAATTATATGTTGTTGACTAGCATAGCTGATTCACATCTTGGGCAGTTTGTGCTGATGTGAAGTTCTATGTGTAATATATATATATATATATATATATGTGTGTGTGTGTGTGTGTGTGTGAGAGAGAGAGAGAGAGAGAGAGAGAGAGAGAGAGAGAGTGAAGGAACACGTGTTCATTTGTGTTTTATTGTGTTTGTGTATGAGTGAGAGCAGTAGGAGCAGTAAGAACCTTTATCCTTAAGGTAGGGCCCCGGTTCCTTAAATAGTATGGTTGGCTCTCTGTATGTGTGTTTGCGTAGATATGACTCATTGCATTAAGTCTTTTATTGCTACCAGATGAGTTTCCAGCCCCACCCTCACCTCAGCAGCAGCAGCAGCAGCAGCAGCAGCGTACAGATGTGAGAGAATGGGATATCAAAGAGAGGCGGCACTGCTAGTGTTGAGTGTTACAGAAATAGCAGTTGCCCTGGAGACAGATCAGCTTAGCACCATGAGCCATGCGCTTCCCTGTGCTTGGTCAGATGAGGAAGAGGATGAGTGGAAGATTTAGCGCGGGATGCCGTCTGCCACGGGGGCCGGGAAGTGCTGAGAAACAGGCCATCTGGTGCTCTGCTGAGCTAGCATGTGACAACAACACATACAGTATAGCAGATACACACATTCATCCATTAACTTGGCGAATACACGTTGGATAAGATCTGGCTTTTTCACTGTCTTCTTTCAAAGCTTTTCAAACTGATTAAGTATCATTCCATTCCGTTCCATTCCATAAACATATTGTAGTGTTTAAAGGGGTCATATAATGCCATTTTTGTACAAGTTAAAATGAATGTTTAGGGTCCAAATGAAAACTTTGTAATTTAATTGTATTAAAAAATTCTCATTAGTATTTTAAGAAAACACTCATTTTTCCTGGTCAAAATCAGCTCTGTTTTTCAGTGCATATGCCTTTAAATAATAAACTCCGCCCCTCTGTTCTGTGGGCGTTTAGACACAGCACACGTGGAGTGTTGCCTTGACAACAGTTGAGGGATATTTTGGAAAAAGAATGGCAGTGGGAGTCTCTGAGGACACATCTGTGCAATCGTATCAGTTTGAACTAGAGTCTCACCCGGAACAAGATGACGGCCGCAAAGAAGTTTGTCAATTAAAGGTTCTCTCAGCGATCCTGGGTGTTGACATTCGGAATATTTTCAAACAAATCGGAGGCTAGCTAGACCCTCCCTCCTCCGCATCTCATCTCCTCCCCTCCCTTCCGTGCTTCCTGAAATAATTGTGAACGTGCATTTCTAGCTAATTATATCCTTGTGTGGGTTTGGCGAACATAAGCATCAATTTAGAAGAAAAAAAACAATTTAACGTTACCCACCTGTCCAGCAAAAACAGAGCAACCTGAATGTCGGACTGGAAGCCCTTCTGCCGCTGGAGTTCTCGCCATCGTTCAAAAGCTTTGCTACCGATGTAAATTCGGAACTTCGCACGTTCTTTATCCAACTCCTTCTTCTTTTTAATTTGTTCCTCAGAACGACGTCTCTTTGGTCGTGTGTCGGCCATTTTTCAAACTTCCCTCTGATGCTTCTATCTCCTTCACACACACACACACACACCCTTCATGTGCACGCGCACTAACCCCCCAGACCCACCCTCAAATACTTCTTGCCAGTGATTGGCTGGAACACTGTTTGTTAGGTTTCGTGGTCCGGGTGAGACATGATTGTTTTTGTTGCCGTTTGTGGAGCCTGTGGTGTCTACAGAGACCGCGTTTTTTTTACAGTGTGTTTAGGGGACAGGCAGCTAAGCGATAGTGAGGAGACGTTTGATGTATGTGACAAAAAATGTTTTGGCCCCACATCGCTTAGAGAACCTTTAAGGCTTGAACAGGACGTTTCTGAATGGTTGGTTAACGTAATGTCACTTTGATCTATCTTTGTATGCACTGGCAGGGTAGAGTGCCACACAAGCCCTCAAAAGTGAAGCCAAAACGTCTCGATCACATTGTCAAAAGTTAAAAGGACAGTAGGTCAATTACACTGTAACAACGTAACGCAACTATTACTAGCTAATTCCGCTTCACTCTCGCTTATTTAACAGCAGCAAAACTGGACATGATGGTCACAAATTTTGTCATGCTTATTTGAGAACTGATGGGCATGTTCTTTTAATTGTTATTCAAGCAACGTAAGAGTGTTGCCAACAGGGACTGTGTAGAGTGCCCTCTGGTGGACAAAATATACAACTCCAACACTCATGACATGGTTGAAGTGTGTTTCGTCCGTTTTCATTTTATTTTTGAAATGTTGATTTATGAGCCAATAAAACTGCCGATACCGATAGTTTTGAAAATGCCTAACATCGGCCGATAATATCGGCCTGCCGATATATCGGTCTGGCTCTAATGTTTTCTATCTACACCTTTTTTGTGTAGGTTTGTGATGAAAATGGTATCATCAGGAGAGCAAAAATTCATTATTAATACATCCTGGGATTCTGTTCCTTCTCCCTCTATTGTTATTGTTAACTCAATTAGTTAAAAGATTAGTTCGCCCAAAATGAAAATTATGTCATTAATGACTCACCCTCATGCCGTCCCAAGTTCATCTTCGGAACACAGTTTAAGATATTTTAGATTAGTCCGAGAGCTTTCTCCATTGAAAATGTATATACTGTCCTTGTCCAGAAAGTAAATAAAGACATAATCAAAATAGTCCATGTGACATCAGTGGGTTAGTTAGAATGTTTTGA